TTTCTAACAATATACGTTGTTCCCATTATATATATATGGTAGGAGATGTCGTAAGCATAGAGGACGTAGAAGAGGCTCTTGAAGGAGTGGATTGTGTGATTCATCTTGCTTCGTACGGTGGTTCGGGTAAGGAAATTGTTCGGACTCGTCGGATCGAGGAAGTCAACGTGGAAGGGACGCGTAACGTTTTGGAAACATGTGTGAAGAAAGGGATCACGAGGCTAGTGTATTTGAGCTCAAACGGCGTCGTTTTTGGTGGGAAAGAGATTGAGAATGGAGATGAAACTCTTCCTTATTTAGCTTCCAATCAATACGTCAGTCCATATGATCGGACTAAATCTATTGCCGAACAGTTGGTTTTGAAGAACAACGGTCGTACTATTGAGTAAGTGCAAATCATTATGTTTCGATGATGTATTTTGTGAAATTTGAGGAATATTAAAAAATGAAATAAATGATGTGATATGTAAAAAGTCGATTAAACTTTCGGTTTATTATGGTAATTCTAGTAATGGACATGGAAGTATTTTGTCTACGTGTGTGATTCGTTGCCCACTTGTTTATGGACCCGGTGAAGAGAAGTATCTTGATAGGATAATCTCTGACGCAAGATTGGGTTTATTTCTCTTCAAAATCGGCGATCCAAACTCGAAAACCGATTGGATTTATGTCGATAACATTGTACTCGCACTCATGTTAGCGACAACCGGTTTACTCTCCGAGCACTCGCAAGCTTCAGGGAAGGCCTACTTTGTTTCTGATGGTAAAATTAATTCTCTCAAACTCTGTTTCCTATACTTTCCTTTGATCAATTCATCTGGAGGCTGATTTTGCTGTTTGTTTTTTGTAGGTAATCCGATTAACTTCTTTGAGTTTCTCCGGCCACTATTGAAAAATCTAGATTATGACCTGCCCAAGTCATCGCTATCTATTTCGCTTGCGGTTACACTAGGAAATATATTCAAAGCAATATACATAATGCTATTACCATTGTTGAACCAATGGTGGATTCCACAACCATTGATTCTTCCACCAGAAGTATATAAGGTTTGTTAGATAGTATAGTCTTGGTGGCATTAGAGAATGACAAAAAAAAAGAAAAAAAGAGCCGATTCGCTTGAGCTTAATTATAGCGGTTTTTCTTAATGGAACAGGTCGGGGTGACTCATTACTACTCGATCCGCAAAGCCAAGGAGGAACTCGAGTACGAGCCCAAGATACAACCCGAAGAAGCCATGACCAAAACCATTTCATATTTTAAAGAAAAAAAGAGGAGAGAAGTCGATGGACCGAGCATTTACGCGTGGATTTTCTGTGTTGTTGGATTGCCTATCATCCTATCAGCCGCATGGCTACCGAACATTGGACCCGTACCATTCTTTAGAGCCATTACTCTGTTTTTCTTCAGGACGATGTTGGGAGTTCGGATAGCGTCAGGGATTGTAATGACAGTGCACGTGAGTGAAGCGGTCTATGCATTGTGGCTTGCTCGTAGAGTGGATCCAAAGAATGCAAAAGCTTGGTTTTGGCGGACGCTACTTCTCGCTACTTTCTCGCTTCGGTTACTTTGGAAAAGAGCCAAGGAAGTGAAGCAAGAAACAACAAGAGAAGGTCTTCTTACCAACTCATGTTCAGTCTAGTGGTTAAAGATCATCACACATGGATTTAAATCATGATTCACGCGATTTTAATCGTTTTAAATGACAAATAATAAGGGTTTTGAAATTTGTAACTTTTAAATTTGTGTAGATTTTGTATGAACACTCGTGTCATTGTTTATGGGTTGAATCCGATGTTATGCAATATGTAATTTAAGTGTTTATTTTTATTTGACCAAC